TACTTGGCTTCGATTATTTTCAGGATTTTTAGGAAAGGGACACTTTCATCTCTGCATAATGAGTTTTTACAAATTAGGAAGAAAAAAACTCTTACTTAGATCAAATTATTATTTCGTTTACCACAAAGAAAATTTTTTATTATTATGTTTGTTAACAAAATACAAACAAATTGAAGAAAAGGGAAGAACATTGGTGTCAAACGAACATGCATCCTCATTCATCCTGATTTTTTTTGTGAAATCTACGTCTTTTAATCTCAAAACTATGTGTTGTGGTCTTTCTTTTATGTATTGCGTTATGAAGCTTTGTGAAATATCTCTACATGATGGAGAAAAATGGATGTCATTTTCGGATTCAGCGTACAGGAATTACCGTAGAACATGTATAAATTTCAAGACAATAAAACCATCGCATGCCTGTGTAATCACCAGTTGAAATATTGAAAAGTTTGCTTTAATGTTAACCTTGTATTCTTTTTAAAATAATTTATTTTAAAGTTGTGCAATGATGATTTTTTAAGTGTTTGTATTGTTATTTTTATTGCACTTGTTAATTTATTGTATGTTTTCATGTGTAATTTATGCCCAGTCTACACGTGCACCATCTATTGAAACTTACACATACACTTGTGTGTCAGTCATGATATTAGAAAAACACATGTTCGCAAAGTCAATTAAAGACAAAAATACAAGTGCTTTGTCATTTTTTGTGAGAGGCAAATTGATTCTAACTGGTGCCTGGTACACTTAATGGCCATTATTGTTTCTAAAGGTCAGCCCATTGGTGACTACTGAAAGGTGTGGTCTAATGTTATGAATTAACCACAGCAGGTGGTCACAGAGATGTTCTGTGATATGAATATTTGGGCTCTGAACAAACCATTCCAAAAGGTTGATACTATTTTTCAAGTCATGTATTTTTTTTCGTCATCATCTTCTATCTTTCTTTGTGTCATGGATCATGTTTCAGCCTGAATAACACCTTTCCCACTCACCAGATGTCTCACTATAGTCTTGGCAATTTCTCCACTTACAATATCTTGTTATTTTGAACATGTTGACACTTTACAAGTAGATCCCTTGTTCAAGTTGCATAGTACAGTCCACAATATTCCACTCCACTTGCATTTTCCATACTCATTTTCTGCTGTCACTTCTTACTTTAGTGAAGCATTTTTTTTTGTCTGATACTGATGAGCTTTATACCAAACAAAACAGTCTCAATTGTTGTTGAAGGTGTTGTGTAATTTATATATATTCCACCTGTCAATTTTGCTAGTTTATGGGGAACACGCTTCAGGGACCGCTCAGTTTGTGCGTGCTCACATATTCCCACAGTGGATAAAGCTACTGCAGACTTTGTGCTAAAAGTTTTGAACCTGCATTTTCCACAACATAGCACAAGTTCGAAATTGAGTTTTAGATCCAATCTTCTGCATTCAGTGCATGATATGTATGTACATACACACACACACACACACACACACACATACATAAAACAAGTATAAAATAATATCTGTGAAAAACTAACAGTTAAATGCAAGACTCATAAAGCACGTAGTCTAGGTACACTTGTACTGTGTGCAACATATATGTCTTAAATGTCACACTTTCTATGTAGTATTAAACTATGAAACTGAGCCATTACATGCTGGACAATGGTTGGTTGGTTTGGCTCATTGTTCACACTATGGGCTGTTGCTTTGGTCTATACTTGAGTATGACAATCACTCAACTGCATCAGTAGCATAAATTGAATTATTGCAAGTAATGTTGGAAACATTGTTCAACATGGTATTTTAAGTGTCAGAGCAGATTTATGAGGTGTTAATCTGCATGTTTGTGTACACAGACTGTAAGAAGGTTTGTGTTTTGAATGAAAAATTTGCTTAATTACAAACAGAATTATTTATAGTCTATAATGAGAATTGAAATGTTTATAACACACCAAAAGCAGATATTTTTCTCACATGAAGTACCGTTACGTTTCTAGTACCCTATAATTGTTTTATGTAAAGTAGAACAGACATGTTCAAGCAGATAGCTATTAAACATATTGATTCTTCACACTACAGTTTTTTAGTGAATTTACAATATTTTAGCATTGTCTTTATTTGTATTCTTGTAAAGCATGCTGGGTATTCCATGTCACATTTAATGGAACTGAATAGAGTAATCAAACTGTGTAATTACTATTGATATTTAAAACTTTCCTTTGCCAAAGTTCCAATTCAATTTACTTTATTGGGTTTAACTTCCTATTTTGTTAACTTTAATTTTTTTATCTGTTGGCCCAACATTTTTATTTGCAAACAAGATTAGTACGTTCGGTACGAAGTTAAGAATTTAATTAGGTATTTATTTTTTTTAACCTGACTTGAGTAAGTTTTTATAAAGAAATAAAAATTAAACACAGTAGTAATGTAAATTTGGAGAATACTCTTGTGTGTTAGTTCCTCAAGTTAACCCTATTTTCTTTGGCACAATTTTTAAATTCCTTTCTGCGTATGAAATTGAGTTGCATTCAGAATTTAATTACACAACTTTACTATCAATGTATGTCAATAAAATTAACATTATAATGTGTTTTGGCTTCAATATTGCTTGTATTATGACAAGATGATTTCATATTTATGTATAAAAAATGAGCAGTAAACAATAAACAATGAGACTGACATGCTCTTTGTTCTAACTAAATGTTATTTATACTGATGTTAGTGTATTCAGTGTGGTCCTATTCCTTGTCCCGAGGAAGCTGTGTGTCCTCAAGGAAGTTACAACCCCATCTTCTGTAGCAGTCCTTTCTATGTGCGTCAAGGCTACAAATGTTTTATAGCCGATTCCATGGTGGGAATTATCATTGGTTCGTCACTAGGTAAGTATAAACATACTCTTATTATGTTTTTATTTTAAAGTTTAATAATAATATGTGTAAAGAGATTAAACTAAAGCTCTACAAGGATAATATTTTTTATTAAACACATTTTTGGTAACTTTATGTGACATGGGTGGGTGTGGTTCTTGTTTGAAAATACAGAACAACTTTGGACTGCTTTAATTCTTTCTTTATTGAAATTTGTTATCAGGTGGATTAATAATGTACCAAAAATGAGAAAAGAAAAAAAAATGTATGTAGTGTGTCTTTTACACAACTTCTTAGAGAAACTCAAAAGAATGTTTTTAAAATTATATCATATTTTTACAGGAAACTATGTATTTATGAGTTGAGAATGATGCACAATGCTGTTCTCACAAATTTAATTATTTTTATATGTTTTACTGGAGTGTTTAGTGTGTGTGTGAAGTGATATAAGTTATAGTTAATATAAGTTTTTACTTTTCTGGCTGTTCAGTAATAAGTGGACTTTCTTTTTCCTAGTTGTAGTGCTCTTTTTCGTCATAGTTGCAGCTAAATTGTATGTTAAACGATTAAGAAGAGGAGGTTTGACTGAAAACAGTTCCCTTGTACAAGATTGCAGTACAGAACCAGTTTACACAGGTCTTTGACCTGACTTGGTAAAGATGTTGTTTAGGAAAAGAACCACAGTTCGTGTTCCCAGCTTCTAAGCTAGAATGAGAAGAAATTCAACCGAACAAGTAAACTGTCAAGTAACATATATTGAAACTTAGAACCATAAAGAACCATATCAATACTTTGTTGTTTTATTGTTATTTAACTGACACTAAAAACAATAGCATAAAGAATGACACAGATACATTGAAATAAGAGAGAAAAAAATTATGATTGTGCAAAGTTTCAATTTTGGTTTAGCCATACTTCAGCTGTGAAACTTTGTTGCAAGCCAAACTGTATGGCTAACTAATGAAATGTCAACAACCTAACCTCTTTCAACCAACTTCATTGAATTGTAGTGACACAAAGTTTCAATTTTATAAAAAAAAAACAGAACTAAATTTGAATTAAGGTACAAACTATTGCATTTATCACCTGGAAATAGCCTTTTGTTGAAATTTTTTTGTGAATGGTACTTTTTCAGGCTTTCCAAAATTTAAACAGATTCTTCATCAACATTGGTTATATTGTTCTTGATGTAAGTTCTACTCCAAACCTTTTTTTAATTGATGCATTTTTGCTGTTTTCTATGGTTTATTCATTCTTCATCTTTAATAGTGTTTAGTATTGTATACACACGTGAACTTTAGTTTGAGTCCAGTAGATGGCCAGTTTAAATTTCATCATGCTGACATTTCTAGCTTCTCATTTGTTGTCTAGAAAGTTACCATGGTCACTTTTTTCACATTAATGAAATTGTTAATAAACGTATTTAGTGTTCTCTTGTTTTTGTATTTCATTTAGATTGAAAGCCATGAATATCTATGGTATTCTGTTTATTGGAAGTTTCATAACCTACCTATATGTGTATGTTTACTACTTTTCTTTTTTATGACATTTTCTGTAACAGTACTTCAAATTATATAAAAAGTGTAACAGTGATTTGGATATTTTTAAAAAATTAGAATAATTTCCATTTATTTCAGCTTGTAATACCTCTTTACAAGTTATCACTATTAGCCAACTTCTGTTTATTGTGCCGTGAAACAAAGTCGATTGAGTCTCTCTTTCTCCCCCACCCCTCTTTCAAAACTAAAAAACTCATGTTTTAGGCAGTTAATTCATAATGAGGTGTTTCTATTGTTTGTTGTTTTACAAACAGATTGAAATACTAAAACACCAGAAGAATACAGAATGGACTATTTTGAAACCTTACTGAAACTGAACATTTTATGTAACGTATTTTATGATACTGAAGAAAGATCTCATAAAAAAAAACTATTTATTTTGAGGGTAAAGTTTAAAAATAAAACATTTTTTTCTTTATTTAATTTTTTTAAACTGAGAAACTATAATGGTACTTTTACTGTGATAAAAATACAGCTTACTCTTTGCTACAGCTTTTTTAGTCATTTGGCTGTATGATCATTGGATGTAAGTTAATTTTGATGCTAGAGGAAAAAAATCACGGCTTACTCTTTTTACTAAGACAGCTGTAGCGTGAAATTCAGCTATCTAATTCTGTGATGGTTTTACAACTTTTGTAGTTCAAATTTTGTCCATTAAAACAAAAGACTGAGACCCATATTAACAACAAAAGTATGTGAAACACTATACAGAACCCAAATTATCAATATAAAATGTCAGAGGAAATCAAATAATGGGGTTATGGGTCTTACAGCTAAAAATATGATACACAATCTGGGACATAACTGTAATAACAATTTTAACCTTAGAGTATACTAAAACAATGGGGTTATGGGTCTTAGAGCTAAAAATATGAAACACAACCTGGGACATAACTGTAATAACAGTGTTCACGTTAGAGTATACTAAAACAATGGGGTTATGGGTCTTTCAGCTAAAAATATGATAAACAATCTGGGACATAACTGTAATAACAGTGTTCACGTTAGAGTATACTAAAACAATGAGGTTATGGGTCTTACAGCTAAACATATGATACACAACCTGGGACATAACTGTAATAACAGTGTTCACGTTAGAGTATACTAAAACAATAGGGTTATGGGTCTTTCAGCTAAAAATATGATACACAATCTGGGACATAACTGTAATAATAGTGTTCATGTTAGAGTATACTAAAACAATGGGGTTATGGGTCTTTCAGCTAAAAATATGAAACACAGTTTGAAATCTTACTGAACAACAGTAATCTGACACTGAACTCAAATAATGGAGATTATAGTTTATACAAAGTAAAAATGTGATACATCTGTGACCAATATAACTAGGAATCTCAAAGTTGACTTAATGATAAAAATCTCTGAATAAACTTGTTCAAATGGTTTTAACATTTAACATTAGTTTGATACATTTCTGCTCTCCAGCTATTCCTACCAGCAAGAAATGTCACACTGTGATGTTCGTAAATAAAGAATAAGATATGGGTAAAATATTTTTATATATATAGAGAGAAATATAAGTTATTCTAAACAAAAAATTAAAAAATGATAGTTTTATTATAAAATGTATGATCTTCACTATTTAGTACAAATCAGGTTTGTTTATAAAAATTTAATATCAAATTATTAACGTTGTATTAGTATCTACTAGTCATAAGCATATGGCTGTACATTCAGTGATTTTGCAGAGAGTATGACAACAGTAGTTGATAAGTTGTATATTAACTTAAGTTTTAACAAAAGTAGTCATCATACAACCAGGTGAGTTATACTAGAAATGTTGAGTGCTCACTTTGTTAAGAAGGAGATTTGAACATGTGATTTTCTACAGATTAAATCCATTTTTTCCATTCTGTGATTACATTCATGAATTGATTTTATCATTTAGTAAAAATCAAATATGACTTGGTGTAAATAGTGCTTCAGTGAAGCTCAATTTTTTATTATAATTTTTAATGAACTCCTTTACTGGTCTGTCGTTTCTGTACATATTTTGTGTGTAACGGGCACAAAACAGACCATTTTAAAAGTTTTTTTTTCTTCTCTCTTCAGATTTGTAAGAAATTTTTGTTGCAGAATTTAACTTTTTTGATGTTTGTTGCATTTTATATGTTGTGTATGAGAGCTTGAGTTTTGAAAGTTTTCTTGAAAGTCATTGAAAAGTAAAATACGAATTTGACGATGTAGCCAAAACTTCCTCTCTGAAAAGAAAATTTGGTGCTTAAAGTAGAACAGTGTTTTTAAAAGATAATTGTAATTTTTATCACTGAAACAACAACTATTTATTTAAAAATTAAATTGAATTCATGAAGTTAGTTTATACTTCACTGTGCTACTCCAGATGTTAATTATATTATTGAATACAGTTATACGCAGCTGTAGACTGTTGTACATATTAGTGAAGAATTAGTCAATCTCGAGATTACAAAATATTCATTACCTGTTAAAAAAGAAGTTTCTTATTGACAGTGTTTTTTCTTTTAAAATGTAATAAAATAATACATTTGTAATTATATAAATTTCACCATCAAATTTCAGTGGGCACATACAGCTTTGCCTATTTTGTGTGTACCTGTAAATTCTAGGGACTTTGTGTCGAAGGGCATTATCTAACGTGCTCAGTTATCTTCCCATATTTCATTTTAGTATGTTATCCGTATGAACCCAAGTGATTAAGACGTTTAGATAGCATAGCGTAATTATTGAAAACTGTGTCTGTCCACAAATAAATGTTTAAAATATCATATGGTTAAAGCATGTAAACTAGTGCTAGAAGGACAGATTATATGTTTTGAATGTTGAAACTAGCTTTTAGAAGCTTAAAACGTTAATCTTCTTATTGGAAAATAAAAGTTCTAAAATGTTGAAACTAGCTTTTAGAAGGTTAAAACATTAATATTCTTATTGGAAAATAAAAGTTCTAAAATGTTGAAACTAGCTTTTAGAAGGTTAAAACATTAATCTTCTTATTGGAAAATAAAAGTTCTAAAATGTTGAAACTAGCTTTTAGAAGGTTAAAACATTAATCTTCTTATTGGAAAATAAAAGTTCTAAAATGTTTAAACTAGGGATGGAGCAAATAGAACTTTGGTCATATTTCAGATATTTGGCTCCTGAAATTAAATGGGATTTGGATATTTTTGGATCAGATAGTAGATGTGGTCGTACGTATTGAAAATGTACCCTAGACACAAGCTACCACTTCATTAGAATATGGCATGAAATTAGTTAAGGGTGACATTGTTCTTTTGAAAATCTAATAAGGATGTATAGTCCAATAGGAGTGAATGGTTGTTGCAGGCCCATTTAGGGAATGCGATGTGAGACAGTGTTTTACATGCACTCCCGACCTCCAGATGAGAATGTTGGTAGGGTTGTGCTTGTCGTTGCAGTTGCTACCATAGTCACTTGTGGTATCCAATTGCAGCACCATGGGTGGGCATGCTGTTTACTTAAACTTTATTAGGACTATCTCTATTGTAGCTACCAGAGCTCCCGTTTTATAATACCAAGGAAAATGCTGCTATGTTTAGATAATACAATACATATCATGTACGATGATCATGCAAGTTATATAATGCCTTCTTAATATTGTGAGATAATCTGTTGATGGAAATGCAATTTGATTATCCAATTCATCACAAAATTAACATACCTTTGGATCAGATTGGATTTCGATGTATAGTGCAGTAACTGATCCAGTCAGATGTTTGTCCCATCTATAGTTGAAGCATTTTGTTAGAAGGCTAAAGGTTTAGAATGTTAAAACTGAACATTGGAGTGTTAATTGTTTAAAGATTTATGACTGTTGTAAGATACTTTTCTTATTCTTGCTCGAGGCTGCTCGTACCAAACATACAGTTTGACTTTACTGTTTATAAGCAATTTGGATTTTAATTGGAAAACCTTTTATGGCAAATGACTTTATTAGTTTCCTATCATAATGCCACATCTTGGGTAATGCTCCAGTTTCTTAAGTAACTTTTATTCTTTTAACGGTCTCTTTAATCTTTATAATGCTTATAATAGAGATATCCATGAACAAAAGTAAAAGAAACATTCTGTTAGAAGTGAGGAGGAATAGTAAATGACATTTATTGTTTCTCGTGTATTATACTTAAAGCACCCTTGTTGTGTATTATACTTCAAGCACCCTTGTTGAATTGGAGAATTCACACATTTGAAATCTCACAACTGTACCTGACATTTTGCTAAGGATGCATGTTTTTATTAGAGATGTAGATCAAAGTAGTTTCTATTTATGGATCTTTAAAATCAGCACATTAGCTCCAGTTGTTCCTTCATCTCTTGTCTGGCAATCCAACATTTTGATCAACTGTGTGTCACTGTCATAAGATCACTTCATGTGCTAGTTTAGGCACCTACGTGAGAAATTTCGGACAGAGGATTAAATTTCTTGAGTTTTAATGGTCAGATATAACTGTCGGGAGGAGGTAGTTTTCCATTTTAATGTGTAGCATAAAGAGTTAATAAGCTTGAATGTTTTGGTGTAACTCTTAGAAAATGGGGGGGATTTTTATCGTCACGAAAATTTCATCTTATTACCAGAAGATAGCACTTAAAGTTACCAGGTGCTGGAGGACCTTAAACAGTTTTTTTTTTTACAAGTTATAGCTTTTACAGTAAAGAACGTTTTTTTTAACAGGTAGGACATTCAATTACAGTGCAATCATTCTTAAGTACACTGATTAATATAAATACAGAAACCTTTTTTTACCATCAAAACCTACGTACTTGAGAATTATCACACGAGGGATTGAAATGTCGTAACTGTTTAAAGAAATATATATTCTTCCTTACTGTGAAAAGCTGTAACTTATAAAAAAAAACAGATTACTTATGAGTAAGTTAACTGAAACAAAATTATTAATTGTAAAAAATTCTATTGGCTGTTTTAGGATGAAAGTTTGGAATGTTTGAAAGATAATTTTTTTTTAATCTCTGGAGTATACTGTCGGCTAACATTTAGTTTCAGTACATGTCTGAAGACAATTTGGCTTTAAATTGAAAATCTTATCACTGTTACTCTAGGGTTTGACGTTTACTTAACTTGTGATGCAGCCTTGAAACACTGATTTGAAAGGGATTGACTGTTTGAATTTCTTTTTTAACTTTTTTTGCTGTTGTTTAGAAAAAAAATTATACCATATTTCCAAGACCTATTATTGTAATAGTCATAATGTTCTAAATATTATTGTAATTATAACTTAATTAATTGAAAAATACAATAACAGCAACTTTTACAGCACACAAGTTCTTATTTAAATGATTAAAATGTTTCAACCTATAGTATTGGGATATCACCAGGTAAAAGTGGCATTCATTTCTGAATACTACAAGAAAAAAAGTCTTTTATTTTTTGGTTCTGAATGAAATGACATTGGTACAGATCATAAATATATCATACAGTATCTTTGTGTAGTTATTATGTTTGTAAAGATATACATATGTGTGTGTATGCTTTATCATTTCATGGTATTGATGAAAAAGTAAGGTGGTACAGAGTTGGAGTAATAAATATAATATATTGGTGCAAGGACACTGTTTATATCTCCAATGGCTCAACATGCCCATCAAACTTACCTTAAACAGTTTTTTTACATATAGATATTCTCTGTATGCAAAAATATTTTAGTGTTTTGAAGGGTCTGCAAAAACACTACGTACATTATGTTACTTACACAGCTTTCAATATATACAGAGATAAGAGAAAAATTGTTTCTTGGAGGCATAGAGAAATTAAGAGTGACTTAAAGTAACAGCGTTACTTTTGTTTACTTTTTGAGAATTTAAATAGCATTCTTGAATCACGGGCTTTAGTATTCTTCTGTGATTTTAGAGTACCATGTTAAATGAGCAAGAATTTGCTGAAGAAATTATATAGAATAACTAAAAAGGATTATTATAAATTCAATTTTTTAATTTCTATATGTTTTAGTAATAGAAATGCCATATTTGTTTGTGTTTTTGATTGTCTTCGAAGAAATGAGAAATAAATATTTAGATGCATTTTCTCATAACTTTAATAAATTGTTGGTTTTTCATATTGAAAGTTAGTTGTCGTTAAAGTTGTTCCTAAAAATCATGAACCTGATGTAAGTTAATAAATACTGTTATTACAGTCCAAGATATATAGCTGAGGATACTCATGATACTGTGTGTATATATATAAACACACACACACGTAACATCAGTGCTGGGTATCTCAAAGAAAAGTTGTCAAATAAAATGTAATACTGTGTATTTCAACAACATTAGAAACTCAGGAAAAAAAATCTACTTTTTGATAAATTTGAAGTAGAAGCCTTAAGCGGTTCTTCCGAGGTTTTACATACATTATCTTCCACATAGATAGAAAGAAATATACATGAGTGTTTTTAAATTCATATCCCACATTTCTTGAGTATAGAAATAACATTACACATGTTTGTTAAACACCACAGTTTTACTTCAGAGCATTGTGGTGATTAAATAGTGATGTTTAGAGATTGAAAAAGGAATTTTATGTAAGAAAAGATATGTATGTATTAATAACATGGCTGATAATGATATGCTTAACAATTAAATTTATGTGTAACCTACTGTGTTATGATATAGTGTTTTTTTTATTGTAATCATTATTTTTGTAGTTTGTGAGATAAAGTTGTTTTAATACAAAATGTATTGATGTATGAAACAGCACTTCAAGTAGTTGTGTTCATCGGATATTATTTAATGTGTAATTTTGATTGTAGTAAATAAAGTGAGTTATTTTGTAGAAGTTGCTGGTGTTTTATCTATTCTGTTAATAAGACAATATTATGCAATTAGAATCTGGACAAGTTAATACTCGTATGTGTACAAAAGGAAGGGGTATTACTCCCACTATACTCTAAAAGGGTGTTTTTACTCCTACATGTCAAGAACACCTATCTTGGTGTACTATAATCACTAACAGAGGTTCATTTTGTTAACCATCTTTACTGTATTAGAAACACCTGTCTGAATGTATTGTATCACTGATCGAGGTTCATTTTGTTAATCATCTTTCTGTATTAGAAACACTTATCCGAATGTATTGTATCACTGATAGAGGTTCATTTTGTTAATCATCTTTTCTGTATTAGAAACATTATCTGAATGTATTGTATCACTGACTGAGGTTCATTTTGTTAATCATCTTTATTGTGTTAGAAACACCTATCTAAATGTACCACTGACTGAGGTTCATTATGTTAATCATCTTTACTGTATTAGAAACACTTATCTGAATGTATTGTATCACTGACTGAGGTTCATTTTCTGAATATTCTTTACTGTGTTAGAAACACTTACCTCTGTGTAATTTGTGGTGACCTGTGGTAAAACTGGCCAACAGGTTAGCTGTGAAGACCACAGTTACATGATGGTCTGAGAATTTGTATGCAAACTGTGTATAAATTAAACTTATCAACAGAAACTGAACATGGTTATTTCGTTTTGAAATATAAATACCACCTTTATTTCCAGTGACAGTTTAAACAGTAAGGGTTGGCAACATGAAAAGATCTGTTGCTGAAACTATTTATTTTTAGACTAACTTTTCTGTATTACAAGCAACAAAACTTTATAATGGGATCAAGTTTTTTTTTGTGTGATATTGCTTATTCCTAGCCAGATGGGTATGTTATAGTAATTACTGATTTGTGTGATTAGCTTGCTTTGACAAGAAGTTGTTGGTTTTCTTGAGATGGTGTTCAAATTACATTATAAATGATATTGAAAAGAAAAAGGGGAGACCAAATTTCTCCATGGGAGAAAAAATTAATGAACCTGGACTCAACTCTTGTATCACTAGTTGGAGTTGATCATATTTTGCACTGTATTGAAAACTCCATTTGTTGCACTAACTGGAGTTAATTGTTATGAGCCTTTGCACTAACGGGAGTTAATTGTTATAATCCGTTGCACTAACGGGAGTTAATTTTTATGATTCGTTGCACTAACTGGAGTTAATTGTTATGATCTGTTGCACTAACAGGAGTTAATTTCTATGATTCGTTGCACTAACTGGAGTTAATTGTTATGATCATTTGCACTGCACTAACGGGAGTTAATTGTTATAATCCGTTGCACTAACGGGAGTTAATTTTTATGATTCGTTGCACTAACTGGAGTTAATTGTTATGATCTGTTGCACTAACAGGAGTTAATTTTTATGATCCTTTGCACTAACTGGAATTAATTGTTATGATCATTTGCACTGCAGTGGAAGCTATATGTTGTTTGTTGCAATGACTGTAGTTGATAATGATTATATTCTGCACTGGAGATTCTCCGTTATTTGTTGAAATGACTTGAGTTAATTTTGCTAATAATTTGCATCATATTGAGAATTCCTTTCTCTGACTTTAGCTTGCCCCTCACCTCCATACAGAAGAATTACTTACTATGATAAATAATTATTGAATTTGTCCCAAATATATATATAGTTGATGTACAGAATATCATTCTTTAACTCAGTAATGCTAAGGTAGAAAATTAGCTTTTTTTTCCCCTAAAAAATGCTGTCATGGAATAAAACACTCAATAGAGGGAGAAAAAAAAAAACTGTTCAGTACTTATTGATTCCATTGTTTGAATTATAAAACTGAATTTTGTTTTATGGCTGTACAAACTCTTAAGTTCTTCAAAAGTAATTTTTAATAACTACTTTCATCTTTGAGCAGCTTTACAAATTCAATATACATATAAACATATAGCTGTCAAGTGGCTAACTCTAGTAATTTTGTGTTGTGTCCAATCAAAAACAGAAGATGAATTCAGAACTCTTGTATTGTTACACTATTTAGAATTGTTATGTAAAACAAAGTTGTGCACTTTAAGTACCAATACTGACTGTACTGTAAAGGGGGAGGGGGGCTTTACTCTCAATATATTGATATCTTGAAGCTTAATTTTCCAAGCGAATATAAAAGATTATTGAAAATGGAAGTGGGTGTTTTTTTGTGGAAAATCCCAGAGTAAAAATATTTTTTCTTACTGAGAGGATAATTCTGGAGACACTGCCTGGAGGTCAAATTGCACATACATGACTCTGTTGAGAAACATTGATGAAAGATGTTGATAAAAAATACTACTCATTAAAAATTATTCTTGGTGTTAATCAAGTCTGTCAAAACTCTTGTGAACGGAAATTGTTACTGCTGCCCACATAAAGTATCGTATATCGAGAACTAGGGATGGAGGGGTACCCTGCCAGGTATTGGGCTATCCGGTAATACTTGGCTCCAGCCAAGTGTCTAAGTTAGGCAGCTAAGGTGGTACTGAAAGTTACAGTCAATAATTGGTTTGATTATAAAAAAACATGTTCCGGGCAACAAAACTAACCGCCCGCTGAAAGTCGGGGATTCAGAGAACAATAGAGGTTAATAACAGTGGATTTCTGGGGGGGGGTTGAGAAGTTGGGGCTAGGCTTTGAAAGTTGAAAGTAAAACTTGAATGTTCTGTTGGTGATTATTCGGTTAAATGTAATAAATGTCAATTTCGTTTTTAATTTTTGTGTATGTTGTTTGTTTTTTTTGGGGGGGGGTGCAAGGGGAGAACCCTGTCATGGTATTCGGCCAAATTTTACTACCCATGCATCCCTATCAAAAATATGTTTCTTCTGTAGCAGAATCAATAACAAAGAGTGTAGTACTGTATATTTAAATCATGTATGTTTCTCTTGTAGCAGAATCAATAACAGAGCGAGGTACTGTATATTTAGATCACGTATGTTTCTCTTGTAGCAGAATCAATAACAGTGAGGTACTGTATATTTAGATCATGTATGTTTCTCTTGTAGCAGAATCAATAATAGAGCGAGGTACTGTATATTTAGATCATGTATGTTTCTCTTGTAGCAGAATCAATAACAGAGCGAGGTACTGTATATTTAGATCATGTATGTTTCTCCTGTAGCAGAATCAATAACAGCGAGCAAGGTACTGTATATTTAGATCATGTATGTTTCTCTTGTAGCAGAATCAATAACAGAGCGAGGTACTGTATATTTAGATCATGTATGTTTCTCTTGTAGCAGAATCAATACATGAAGTTCAATGCTGACAACATTTTATTCAAAAGTAAAATATTCACAAAATAATACCTGATAACACAGGAATAACGACCGACTTTATATACGACACATCACAAAATACAACAGAAACATGAGTATAATAATTATGCAGTACTTATTGTTCAACCATAATATTTTCCAAAATAACATTTTTAAAAAGGTCAATCTTTCAATACCTGTTCTTCTGCAGTTAATGATCTACAATAAAATACTCTATTGTTCATCAAAATAAGTATGGAATGGTCGTAGTACTGGAAGACTGTTTTTTTAGTAACTTGGATTGTAAACCTAAATTACTTAACATTTTTCACCGAGACTTAATTCCAATTTATGATTTAAGCTTTTATGCAGTTATACTTACATTTATTAAGGAATGTATGCTCTTTGTTGAAGTGTGCATAAAACTGCATAGTTATTCATTTAGCAACCAAAATGGATGCTATTTGGGCCACACATCCCAAGCAGTAGTGTCGATAAGATGACTTCACCAAAAACGAAAGTCATTAACACATTTGGTTTAAAAAAAAAAGATAATACAGAGGCATAAAATGTCCAAGTAATGTGAAACATTGAAGCTTATAAGACGAAAGAGGAGAGATAAAATTAGTCTTCACCAAAAACGAAAGTCATTAACACATTTGGTTTAAAAAAAAAAGATAATACAGAGGCATAAAATGTCTAAGTAATGTGAAACATTGAAGCTTATAAGACGAAAGAGGAGAGATAAAATTAGTCTTCACCAAAAACGTTTATTTTACATTTCTAATTTCT